AATAAAGCGAAGCGCAATAAAACGAGGTATGCCTGTATAGATTAGGCCATAAGGGACCAACATTTTTGGCAGCCATGCCACAAATTAGCCCCACATACTTCCTGAGTGCCATTCCAATCATCTTCCCCTACCCAATCAGCTGTTCTGTTTTTGTGCTCCCTGCCCTGTGCTTCCTGCCAGATCTGCTGTTTTGCTCTCTGCTTCCTGCCCAATCTGCTGTTCTCTTTTCTGCTCCCTGCTCTATCTGCCACTGTGCTTGCCTGTCCTCTCCCAAGTCTCCCTTGTGCCAGACACAGATGCTGCCTGTGCCATTTTTGGTTTGTATGCTGCAGATTGACTACCCTTGAGCTGGACCACTGAAGTGGGGTAGGATGAAGCCCAGTGCTTTTCCTGTATCTTTTTTTACTGTTTCTTCAGATTAAGCTATTTTGATTTTCGTGTTCAGTTTTCATTCTTGTTTTTAGCAAGAAACACCTTTCAGCAGTATAAAGCTGCAGCACTGTAAACCTCCTTAATAATTGTTGTGTATGTATTTTCATTATCAAGCCCTTTCATAGGGATGTGGTAAAAACATTTAAGAGAGCTGTATTACAAGAGACTTGCCTTCATTTAACTCAGATGGACTGCAGCGATGCTACCATAGCAGTGGTATGGAGAGCAATAATTTTTTTCCAAGTTTTTTTTCTCTTGAGATTGGCAGATACTTTAGAGTTTTAGAACATGAATCTAAGGATAGAGAAGACTTCTAAAATCTTTCAAATAAAAAATATCATCAGAATCCCCCCCAAAATATTTTTATTGAATCACTTCTGTACATTACATTCTTGGTTGTATGCTTGTGTGAATGTCTTAACTAGAATAATTTTAAAAAGTGTACATAGACACCAGTTCTGAGAACACAGCAATGATTAGTACATTATAGCCTATGACTGTGCTTCAGCTGCTGTTTGTAGCAGTGGTTTCCAAGAGCACCTTTCTTCTTTTTTGGTTTTCCCCTTCCATGGGGGGGCAAATAAACTAAAGCAGAACTCTCTCTTTTCTAACCACTTCTGATTTGCTTTTAAGAGTACAGTTGGTGATAAAGGTTATTGTGGAATAATCACTTTGAGCCAGGATTGAACAGCAAGCATAATACTAAAGGATTTTATTCAACAATACACTAAAGTTAATCACCCTATGAATCTAAACGTAGCTGATTTTTAAACTTCTAAAAGATCTCCAACACAAAAAATAGCATTCATTTGTTGATCTGAGGGAATGGACAGAGTACTTGGTATTTTTGCAAGTAAATGGGCAGTTCCCTTAACAATGCTGTATTTGGTTGGAAGAACTCTAATTAGGCTTTTCAACAGTTTCAGTGCAGCTGAAGTGGAATTTTCCATCTGGTGGGAGTACAGTTAAGGTTGCTGTGACCGTACTGAAATGAATTGCACAATATGAGTAGGATTACATGCTACAAGGACAAATCTCAGTCTCCCTCTAGTACACATTTGCTACTCCCTGCTAAACTAGAACATTTGATTGCCTGTCTAGAGTTCTATTACAAATATGGTGGTGTTTTCTTTCCCTGATATATTGTTTGGAAAAGAACACATTGATTCACAACTTATTACCTCACTTCTTAAAATTATTTGAAAGG